CTTCTGATCCAGCTCCCTGCTACTGTGCCTGGGAAAGCAGTGGAAGATGGTCTAAGTCCTTGGGCCCTTGCACCCACATGGGAGACCTGGGAGAAGCTCCTGGCTTCGGATCGGCTCAGCTTCAACCATTGAGACCATCAGGGGAGTGAACCAGCAGATGGAAGATTCCCCACCCCCGGGTCTCTACCTCTTTCTCTCTGTAACTCTTTCAAATAAATAAAATAAATCTTTTTAAAAAATCATATGTGGAGAGAGACACTAAAGTAACTGAAGCAATTTCAAAAAATGGGAATTAAGTGCCTTCCATGTCAACACTTTTCTATTAACTAATAAAACCCATGTAGTATTGTCAGAAGGAGAGACACATTGGTCAATGCAGAACAGACACTCAACCAAGTACAACCACACATTTCCACCTATAATCTGCACACATAACCACAAGCCTGTGGAGAGCAGGGCCTGTCTCCCGCAACATGGCGAAATAAGTACTGAGACTACCAAGACTAGACTAGACCACTGAGACTATTAAGACTAACTCTATGCGTCTGATCTCCCACCATATGGCGCCGAGAGAGAGTAAACAAATCTTACACAGCTGCTTCATTAATTAGCTGATTCCTGACCCAACCCCTGTTTGGAAGAAAGCAGCGTGCTCAGCATGTGGGCAGCAGAGCACGGATTGGTGGGAGAGGACTATAAAAGGGGGAGAGAGACAACATGCAGGGGCCCCCCTGAGAGAGTCAGTCAGAGAGCTCCTTGGTGCCGCTCCTCCGCGAAAGCGAGGGAGCGGCGGGGGTGCCGCTGCTCCTCCGCGGAGGCGGGGGAGCGGCAAAAATCTGGGAAGGACCTGGGAAAGAGAACAGCGCCCAGTGTCATTCCTCTGCGAGTGGGGGAGCGACACAAGCCCATACTGAGAATGGCATATCTCCAAAGTCACAAAGGATGTGTAAGCCCACCACAATCCAAGACCCACTTTCAAAGAACTTGGACATGTGGTAAAACCCATCTTATTCCACTAGAAAGCATATGAAAATATAAACACTAAATGCTATCTAAGTCAAATCTTTACATTTGACTCAAATACACCCACACTGTCCACATTTACAATGCCCAGAGCCCCAGATACAACATTTCCTCAAGTAGATAATCTGCTTTGTATTATTACTCCCTTCATTTTCATTACTACTTGCTTTTTCTATAGAAGCTGGTGTGGAACAGGATAGACAGTTTAGCCACCTGCAGCCAAAAATCTAGCACACGCACGAGCTTTAGTAGATTTACAATCTTTGCACTTCACCTGGCAGGTGTCTCATCAATTTTTGAAGCCATCAATTTCATCATGATAGTTAATATTAAATCACTTACTATATCCCAACCATTTGTAGGATCACTATTATTTACAAATATAATCCTCCTGGGACTGGCATTGTGGCACAGCAACTTAAAGCCCCAGCCTGCAGCACCAGCATCCCATATGGGTTCCAGTTCGAGTCCCAGCTGCTCCACTTCCAATACAGATCTCTGCTAGAGCCTGAAGGCAGTGGAAGACGGCCCAGGTCTTGGAACTGTGCACCTGCACTGGAGACCTGGAAGAGGCTCCTGGCTCCTCTTTAGTTACACTCATATGGAGGTAATATCGAATGATCCCACCCATACTGTGAGCCTTGGGTTTTATCTTTCTATTTACTGTTAGATGGCCAAGGCATTGCTCTAGCCAACTCATTCCTAGACACCGTTCTTCACGATGCATACTGTGCCACACCACATTTCCACTGTGTCTTGTCTGTAGATCTGCATTCACAATCGCAGGAGGAGTCACATATTGACTTTTACTATTTTCAGGATATACACTTGAGTCTACCTGAGCTACAATTTACTTAATTATATTTGTATAATAAATCAATATTTTTCTTGCATAATTGGGCATACAACAATAATACTCCAACTTTCCTGATGAAATTTCAACAAGAAATACTGCACCATCAACAGGGTCATTTATTTCATTAAGAGCTATTATAGTAATAATTTGTGTTATTTGAGAAGTTTTTGCCTCAGAACAAGAAGTCTCAGTAATTTAACTGTCACAAACTTGAATACTACACAGTGCCCACATCACATCACACACTCGAAGAGCCAGCTTATGTAAAATCCTGAATTAACAACAGAAGGAATCCTGCAGGGGTTGTGGCACAGAAGGCTAAGCCTCTGCTTGCTATGCTGGCATCCCATATGGGTGCCAGTTCATGTCCTGGCCGCTCCTCTTTTGATCCAGCTCTCTGCTTCTGGCCTGGGAAAGCAGTAGAAGATCGTCCAAGTGTTTGGGCCCTGCACCCTCCATTAGGTTAAGGTATTCTATTATCACCAATATGCCTTCAAATCTGTATAAATATTTTAGCATATATTGCATCCTTACTAGGAATATCATCAGTATACTGATACATGGTCACTTTTGTGTATTATAAGGCACAATATTATATGCATTCACTTTAGGAATCCTTGTAATCCTGAATGCTCATTTTATCATATCATGTATATTCATTGCCTACTAGTATTTTAGCCTATGAAGCCACTGTGCGCCAAACACAGTTAATAGCATCCAACACTTACGGTCAGATAATGTACAAACTTAACCCTTCTCCTATGAATTATATAATTTACAATTACACTTATTCCCATAACAATGTACGCAAAAACATTATACTCTGAATCAACATAAACACAGAGCTTATACACTACCTCATAATCCTATTTATTATAAATAAATCTATTATAAAATAAGCAGTCTCTCACCAGCCTCTTCTCTGACCCTCCTCTTGATACCACCTCACAGCTTCCCTTAATAATCCTAGTGAGTATCCCCTTTCTAAAGGACCACTTCCATGAAAGAAAGCTATATTTAAATATTAATCTATAGGCATTCTTAATTATGACATTCACAGGCACAGAAGTAATTTTGTGCTAGATACTTTTCATCAACAGTAATTTCAACCCAAGTAACTATTACCCAATGAGGAAACTAAATAGCATTTAAATGGAAACCATGCATAATAACTTTGATAGTAAAAAGCAAAAATGTCCCTGTATGGTCTTCACCTGTGATTACCAGAAGCCCATGTAGAGGCCACTATTGCTAGATCAATATGCCTTGCAGTCACACTGTTAAAACTAGGAGGCTACAGCATAGCATGAGTGCCTACAATCTGAAATCCCTTAAACAGAGCAGAGAGCCTTCTCACTGCCCAGAGGAGCCCTGTGAGGAAACCCCTAACCAGCGCCATCTCGCTCTGTCAAACACATCTAGCATCACTAACCACTTTTTCATTAGTGAGCCACATTAACACTGGTGATTGTGACTGTCCTTATTCAAACATCACGAAGATTTACAGGAGCTACAGCTCTAACACTGGCCCATGGCCTAACATCAGCAATATTATTTTGTCTTGCAAACTCTATTCACAGGCAAACATCACGATTTGCCCAAGGACTACAAAACAGTTTCACCTCTAGCAGCAGCATGATGAACCCTGGCAAACCTAACTAACTCGGCCTTAGCGCCAATCATTAATTTAATCAGGTGGCTGTTCACAAAAAAGACATCATTCTCACGGTCCAAACCTACTACCATCCTAACAGAGTCTAACCTGTGAATTAACACTATACACTGCATCTGCTTACTAATCACAACACAACAAGGAAAACTTCCATATCATATCAATAATATCCCTCTTTCCTTCACACGAGGAAATCACTCATATCCATCACCTTCTTCCCTATCACTCAGTTCTAAGATCATTTCACGAAACACGCATTGTAAAGAGACAACGTTAGCTTATGAATGTAAAAACAGAAACTTCAGTCTCCTTATTCACTGAGGAAGTATGCAAAAACGGCTAACATGCTCAGACACACAGTAATATGGCTTTCTTAAGCTATAAAGGGTAGAAATAACCCATTGGTTTTAGGAACCAACAAACTATTGCAGCTCCAAATAAAAGTAATCTATTTTCTCCCTCTATAACAATGTCACTACTTTCACTTCACCAGTTATAACAACTGTCCCATATTTATAAGGAGATTGGTGCTTTAAACCTCTAATGCGCCTTATTTATTTATTTAATTTTACTTGAGAAACAGAGCCACACTTCGCATCTGCTGGCTCACTACCCACGTGTGTGCAGCCAAAAATGCCATCAGGGTCTACCACGTGGGCAGCAGCCGCTCAATGACACGATCCATCCGTCACTGCTGTTTCCCAAGCTACGCATTAGTGGGCAGAGTCGGAAGCCAGAGCCGGGTCGCAAACTCGGGTACTGCAATATGAGACATGGACCTCGGAACCAGCATCGGAACCTCTCGTCTAAACACCTGACCTGCACTGCGGGTAACTTACGAATGCACCTTGCGTGATGTACATTTAAAAACTCATGGTTTACACAGGGTTCCATACGATCTGCGTCCTCAGGGGTCGCTTGGGGGTCCTGGAACGTGCCCTCCGCAGAGAGGGGAGGGCGGCTGGGATTTGTTACCCTGAAGTGAAAACGAGTCCGAAGTAGAGCCGTGAACCCCGGACACAACACCAGACACACCCGAAGGAGAGGATTCCCAGCACGGGGCGGGCATCGTGACCCCCACCCCACCCCGCCCAGCGGGGGTCCCCCACCATCCGCCCCGGAGGCGCCTCCTCCCGACCCCTCAGTGTCCGCGCCCCGCGGGCACCGCCGGGACCCCGGGCCACGAGGGGCCGCGCGGCCGCGCCGCTCCCTCCTCAGAGGCCGAGGCCGCCGGGCGGCGTCTCCGCAGGAGCCCTGCCCGGCCGGGGCTGACCGAGAGGAGCCACGCGGACGCCGGGTCCTCGCTCTCCCTTCCCGGCTCCCGCTCCGGGACGGGGTCAGGGCCGACGGCGCCGCTCCGGCCGCGGACACCGGGACTCGCCAGGCCTGAGGAGCCGGCGCCGCGCGGACGCGGGAAAGCTCTCAGCCCGGCCGAACCCGCGCCCTCACCTGGCGCACGGCCGCGGGCCCGCCCTTCCCGCCGGCGTCCGCCGCTGCCGTCCTGTCCAGGGATCCAGGGATCGGGGCTGGAGCCCCGCACGGCCGTTAGGTGACCGCGCAACCCCTGGCCGAAGGACAGAAAAGCCGGGCCTCGCGGAGAAAATGGCGAGGGGGAAGCTCAGCGGCCTATTTATAGCCTCGGTGTTAAGGTGGCGGTCCCGGAGACTCATTCTGATTGGATGATGCGGAAGGGCACCAACCAATCAAAAAGCGAAGACAGGGCCGGCGGCGAGGTTTAGCAGGTTAGGCCGTCGCCTGCGATGCCAGCATCCCTTACGGAACCACTTGTGTCCCTGCAAGTGGGAGACCCAGATGAAGCTCCTGGCGCCTGGTCCAGCCCTAGGCCATGGCAGCCATTTGGGGAGTGAACCCGCGTATGGAAGCTCTCTCTCTCTTCCCCTCTCCCCCACCCCTCCTGCGCCTTCAAATACAAAATAAATTTTAAAAACAATTGAAAAAATTTGAAAAGAATCTGCTCATGTGAGCATTTGGCCTAGTGGTTAAAATGACGTCTGGAGGCCGCCGCTGTAGCAAAGTGGGTAAAGCTGCTGCTTGCGGTGCCTGCATCCCATATAGGCGCTGGTTCAGGTCCCGGCTGCTGCACTTCCGATCCTGCTCTCTGCTACGGCCTGGGAAAGCAGCAGAAGATGGCTCAAGTGCTTGGGCCCCTGCACCCACGTAGGAGACCCAGAAGAAGCTCCTGGCTCCTGGCTTCAGATTGGTGACTCTCCGGTCATTGTGGTCATCTGAGGCGTGAACCAGCAAATGGAAAGATATCCACTGCCTGCCTCTGCCTCCCTGTAACTGCCTTCAAATAAATAAATAAATAAATCTTAAAAAAAAAAAGTTAGTGAAATACATTCAAAGATAAGGGAGCAATTGGTATTTAAAAAAAAAATGACACCTGCATCCCACATTGCAGTGCGTGGGTTCAGGTCCTGCCTCTGGCTCTTGTTCTAGATTCATGCCGGTGCAGGGAGGCATCAGACGATGGCTGAAAGAATTGTGTTCCTATCATTCATGAAGGAGACCCGGATTGGGTTCCTAGCTCTTGGCATCAGCCCAGGCCCCAGCTGTCGTGGGTATTTGTGGAGTGAACCAGTATATGACTGCTATCTTTCTCGCTCTCTCACTCTCTCTCTCGCTCTCTCTCTGCCTCTCAACTAAATATATATAATAAATTCTTTAACTAAAAAATTTCTTGAAATTCAAGTTGCTGGGTCAGTGATACAGCAGATCGGGGTCAAGGCTGAGATGTTCATTTGGGAACAGACTCTAAAGAGGGAGAACTGGAGCATGTCTGGCCCAGGAACCCAGAGAAGCCAGTTCGGGCAGGAGGGCGTGGTCAGACAGGAAGGAGGTGGTGGAGGTGAGGCGGCTGACTGACCTAGGAGACTGTGGGGTGTGCCCACACAGAGGCCGCTGGCACCCGACGCAAGGTCAGAGGTGATGGGGACTCCCCTGGCGGGGCCAGTGGGTGGAGTGGAGGAGGTGCTGAGAACCGACCACCAATCAGACGCAGCGCTGGGAAGGAGCATGCAGAGTGGAGGGTGCACCTGGGGGTGAGTGGGTTTCTCTTCCTCGTCAGCCACCCAGATATTGGTGCAGGGGACCACAGGGGGCCGTGGGGGCTTTCAAGCAATGCAAAGCAGCTCACTTGTACCTCTGCCCCTCCGCTACCCCTCACTAGAGGGAAGCAGGCACAGGTGTCAGCCTCAAGGGCTCTGGGGTTGCTCTGAGGGGTGGGGTTGTAGATAAGGTGTAGGATACTGGAGACCAGGACTGACCCTGTGTGAGGGGGCACTGATGACACAGGGGAGGAAGGGCAGGCAGCTAAGCTCCCATCTGCTGGATCAATCCTCAGATGCCTGCAAGAGCAAGTACTGAGCTGTGCTGAAGCTGCGTCGCCCGTGTGGATGCCAGGAACCCAATGACTTGAGTCAACACTGCTGCCTCCCAGAGCCTGTATCAGCAGGAATCTGGAGTCAGGAGCCGGAGCTGGGTATGGAACCCAAGCAGTACAACATGGGAGCAGGCATTTTAACCAGGGTGGGGTTCTTTTTTTTTTTTTTTTTGAAAGATTTACTTATGGGGCTGGTGCTGTGGGACAGTGGGTTAACTCCCTGCCCTGAAGCGCTGGCATCACATATGGGCTCCGGTTCAAGCTTACCTGCTACACCACAGCGCTGGACCCTCCCAATTAACTTTATACTCCACTTCTGATCCAGCTCTCTGCTATGGCCTGGGAAAACAGAAGATGGCCCAAGTCCTTGGGGCCTTGCACCCACGTGGGAAACCTGGAAGAAGCTCTTGGCTCCTGGCTTCAGATTGGCGCATCTCTGGCCATTGTGGCCAATTAGGGGTGAACCATCAGATGGAAGACCTCTCTCTGTCTCTCTCTCTCTCCCCCTCTGTCTCTGCCTCTCCTCTCTCTATGTAACTATGACTTTCAAATAAATAAATCTTTAAAAAATAACAATCTCACTAGATTGTCTAAAATTTTTTTTGACAGGCAGAGTGGACAGTGAGAGAGAGAGACAGAGAGAAAGGTCTTCCTTTGCCGTTGGTTCACCCTCCAATGGCCGCCATGGCCGGTGCGCTGCGGCCTGCGCACCGCGCTGATCCAAAAGCAGGAGCCAGGTGCTTATCCTGGTCTCCCATGTGGGTGCAGGGCCCAAGTACTTGGACCATCCTCCACTGCACTCCCTGGCCACAGCAGAGAGCTGGCCTGGAAGAGGGGCAACCAGGACAGAATCCGGCGCCCTGACCGGGACTAGAACCTAGTGTGCCGGCGCCACAAGGCAGAGGATTAGCCTAGTGAGCCACGGCGCCGGCCTAAAATTTTTTTAAAAAAGAAAGATTTATTTATTATTTATTTCAAAGTCAGAGTTACAGAGAGAGAGAGAGAGAGAGAGGTCTTCGATCCACTGGTTCACTCCCCAATTGGCTGCAACAGCTGGAGCTGCGCCGATCCAAAGCCAAGAGCCAAGAGCTTCCTTTAGTTCTCCCACAAGGATGCAGGGGCCCAAAGGCTTGGACCCATCTTCTGTTTTCCCAGGCCATAGCAGAGAGCAAGATAAGAAGTAGATCAACCAGGACTCAAACCAGCACCCATATCGGATGCTGGCACTGCAAGCAAATGCTTACCTGCTACACCACAGCGCTGGACCCTCCCAATTAACTTTATACCTTTATACTTCGGGAAAAAACATCCACAAAATAATTTCTATTTTTCCGTCTTGGGAAATTAAAACTCTGCCTTGATAATTTTGTTTTCTAGCAACTTCTTTTATTTGTCCAAGGGATAATTTCATTCTTTGGAAAGTATTAAGCCAACTAAATTAATGTTGCCATTGAGGCTCAAGGCCAAAAAGGAATGAGTTTCTCCTAGTATCAACTATTTTTTAAAGATTTATTTTATTTATTTAAAAGGCAGAGTTAGATAAAGAGAGAGAGAGAGAGGGAGGGAGAGAGAGAGAAAGAGAGATCTTCCATCTGTTGGTTCACTCCCAGGTAGCCGCAGTGGCCGGAGCTGAGCTGATCTGAAGCCAGGAGCCAAGAAGTTTTTCCAGGTCTCCCATGTGGGTGCAGGGGCCCAAGGACTAGGGCCATTCACCACTGCTTTTCCAGGCACATTAGCAGAGAGATAGATCAAAAGTGGAGCAGCTGGGACTCAAACCGGCACCCATATGGGATGCCAACACTGCAGGATGCAGCTTTAACCGACTTGCCACAGCACTGGCCCCTCTAGTATCAATTATATTAAAGACAATTGAAACATAAAAGGAAAATAGAAAACGGTCGCCATCCACTACTGGCTGTCTTGGCTAGCATGGAACAAATTGTAGGAAAAGGTGGAAGGTGTTTCCTGATACTTTCTAAACAGGTAGCTTTTGTACTAACATATCCCCCAATTCCCCAAATTCTTACATGTTGCTTTTATGGAGTAAAAAAAATTAGTCTATCTAAATCTGAAAGTACTGGGGCCAGTGTTTCGGCACAGCGGGTTAAGCTAATGCTTGCAAAAACTATACCCCATATTGGAGCACCGGTTCAAGTCCTGGCTGATCTGCTTCCAATCCCGCTTCCTGCTAATGTGCCTGAGAATGCAGTAGAGAATGGCCAAAGCCCTTGGGGCCCTGCTACCCACGTGGGAGTGAACCAGTGGATGAAAGAGTCTCTCTCTCTCTTTCTCTCTCTCCCTCTCATCTCCCTCTCTGTTACTCTACCCTCTCTGTCACTCTGCTTTTCAAATACATATTTTTTTAAAAAGCTTTATTGTAAACACTCTCATCAAAGACTTCACACATCACCCAAATGAAACTGCTTCTTTTCACCCACAAAATGGAGAAACCATGAATTAATGGGGACTGATAACAGATCTATCATGGAAAAGAAGACACGCAGAGAACAGCATAAAAATGTCCTTTCTCCCGGTAGGCACTGGAAGTCGTTGCCTTAAGTGGACAAGTGCCTTATAGACCTTAGTGCCGTAGAACTTGGAACTATTTTAGTTGACTCAGTTGTGTTATCTGTGAGGCTTTGGCAGATCGGAGTGAGGAGGACAGGAAAGAAGAGTGTTGAGTGTATGTGAGGAGCCCTCGGTGCAAAACACTCATGTGGCTTGATGTGCACTTGTTCAGAGCAGCAGGTGTGTGTAGTGTGAGCCCTGTGAATGCATGCGGGGCTCCTGGGATGTCCAGGACTGGGGGCGGGGGCCACATTCTGGAAAACTAACCTGCACTCCACAAGTTGAGCTTTTATCTTAGAGATAGTCACATCTCTGTAGACACTGAAATAACACAATCTGCTAAATAGCCAACTCAGGTAACTCGCTTCTTGATGATGTGATTAATCTTATTTGCATAATTAAATAGTTTTTTAAGGGAATTAAGTTGACAGGAGCCCAAGTACTTGGACAATCTTCCATTGCTTCCTAAACACATTAGCAGAGAGCTGGATCATAAGTGGAATAGGGGGGGGTCTGTGCTGTGGCGCAGCGGGTTAAAGCCCTAGCCTGCAGTGCCAGCATCCCATATGGGTGTCAGTCAAATCCCAGCTGCTCCACTTCTGATCCAGCTGTCTGCTATGGCCTGGGAAAGCAGTAGAAGATGGCCCAAGTTCTTGGGCCCCTGTATCCGTGTTGGAGACCTGGAAGAAGCTCCTGGCTCCTGGCTTCAGATCAGCTCAGCTCTGCAGTAATTTGGGGAGCGAACCTGTGGATGAAGACCTCTTTCTCTCTCTCTCTGGCTCTACCTCTCTCTGTAACTCTTTTGAATAAATAAAATTTTAAGAAGAAAGAGGAGGAGGAGGAGGAGGAGGTAGAGGAAGAGGAGAATGAGAAGGAGAAGGAGAAGAAGTGGGATTCAATCTGTGCTCTGGTATCGATGCCAGCGTTGCAAGTACCGGCTTAACCCACTGTGTCACAACACTGGCCCCAAGCCAGTGGTTTATACAATCCAATGAAAATGTTTTCCTTTACTAAAAAAGGTCAGGGGAAAATGTGATGACTTTTCCATCTGTTCCCAACAATACAAGGCTGTCTGTGTCCTTCCATAGCTAAACCATGTAAACATGCGACCAAGCTGTGCGTCTTACCAGAAAGTGGCCACAAAGGTCAACCACAGGCCAGCCCAGAGAAGGGACCTCCTGGGACAGATGTCACCTTTCCCTCACTTTGTCCACTATGCAGTGGCCATCCACTGCGTATGCTCAGTGGTGTTTTATTTTTGATCTTCAAGATGTGTTTATGTCTAGAAAGGGAATCAAGCAAGATCTCTATTCATTTGTTTCTTAACTATGATGGGAGCAGAGGTTCTCAGGCTAAGAGAACCAGTTCTCCCTGCACCAGGGCAGAATCTGCCTCTTCCATCTCCTTCCACTCAGCGCACAGCACTGGGAATGGCGAGAGGGGCTCGACCAAGTGTGTGCTAAGCACAGCCTGGCCCAGGGAGGCCCAGAACACCCTAGACAATGGCAGCAAGCAGCCATGACTGTGGAATGTGGAGGGTGTGCTGTACTCTGTATTTTAAAGACACTGCTGTTTTGGAAAACCGTTCATTCCTTTATTATCTGTGTCTTGTTTTGTTCAAAAAGTATTTGAGAGACTGAAGAAAGGTTTTAAAGTGCATGACGGGGTGGGCACCGGGTTCTAGTCCCGGTTGCTCCTCTTCCAGTCCAGCTCTCTGCTGTGGCCCAGGAAGGCAGTGGAAGATGGCCCAAGTGCTTGGGCCCTGCACCCGCATGGGAGACCTGGAGGAGGCACCTGGCTCCTGGTTTTGGATTGTCGCAGCGCCGGCCGTAGCAGCCATTTGTGGGTGAACCAATGGAAGGAAGACCTTTCTCTCTATCTCTCTCTCTCACTGTCTATAAATCAACCTGTCAAAAAAAAAGTGCATGATGGGGATGAGTGTTTGGCCCAGCAGTTAAGACACACTTATTCAACACTGGAGACCCGGGTTCAATACCCAGCCCTGGCTCCTGACTTCAGCTTCCTGCTAAAGCAGACTGCAGGAGACAGTGTGGATAGTTCAAGTATTTCAGTCCCTGCAGCCTACAAGGGAGACCTGGACTGGGTCCCTGGCTCTTGGCTTCAGCCTTAGTTATAGGCATCTGGGGAGTGAACCAGAAGATGAGCTTGCTCTCTCTCTCTCTCTCTCTCTCTCACACACACACACACACACACACAAATAATTTTTTAAAGTGCCTGACTTATTGTGACTTCTAAAAATATTTATAGGGGGCTGGGCTAAGCTGCTGCCTGCAATGCCATCATGCCAGTTCGTGTCCCAGCTGCTCAAGTTCCAATCCAGTTCCCTGCTAATGGCCTGGGAAAAGCAGAAGATGGCCCAAGTATTTGGGTCCTGAACTCATATAGGAGACCAGGATTACGCTCCTAGCTCCTGTCTTCAGCCTGGTTCAGCCCTGGATTTCCTGGCCATCAGTGGACCAGTGGATAGAAGACCTCTTTCTCTCCCTCTCTCTCTCTCTCTCTTACTCGCTCTCTGTCTCTCCCTCTGTTCATAGCTGTGCCTTTCAAATAAATAAATATTTAAATATATATTTATAAAATTTTCTTATTAAGAGATACAAAATATATGATCTTGGATCAAAGGGATTACTTTTCAGGCTCAGGTTTTTTGTTTTTTCTGGGTTTTTTAAAGATTTATTTGGCTGGCGCCGTGGCTCAATAGGCTAATCCTCTGCCTGCAGTGCCGGCACACCAGGTTCTAGTCCCGGTCGGAGTGCCAGATTCTGTCCCGGTTGCTCCTCTTCCTGTCCAGCTCTCTGCTGTGGCCCGGGAGTGCAGTGGAGGATGGCCCAAGTGCTTGGGCCCTGCACCCCCATGGGAGACCAGGAGAAGCACCAGGCTCCTGGCTTCAGATCAGTGCGGTGCGCCGGCCGCACCGGCCACAGCGGCCATTGAAGGGTGAACCAATGGAAAAGGAAGACCTTTCTCTCTGTCTCTCTCTCTCACTGTCCACTCTGCCTGTCAAAAAAAAAAAAAAAGATGGATTTAATTGAGAGGTAGAGTTACAGACATAGAGAGGGAAAGACAGAGAGAGAGGTCTTCCATGTGCTGGTTCACCCCCCAAATGATCACAAAGGACAGAGTTGCGCCAATCCGAAGCCAGGAACCTGGAGCTTCCTCAGGGTCTCCCACTTGGGTACAGGGGCCAGAGCACTTGAGCCATCTTCCACTGCTTTTCCTGGCCACAGCAGAGAGCTGGATTGGAAGAGGAGCAGCTGGGACACAAACCGGCTCAGCATGCTGCGCCACAGCACCGGCCCCGAAATTGCTGCTTTCAAGGCAGAGTAGTCACTGCATCTGTGCTCCGGGCTGAGAGGAGAGTGCACCCAGCAGGCCAGGTCTCCGGCCTATACTGCAGCTCTGTCCACTGCTTCTTCCAAGGTCACAGCCACTCCCAGAACAGATCCCAGGTATTGCAGATCAGGGCTACACCCTTGGCTGACTGGGTACCTGCTTCACAATGGCCTTGCCTTCCAACCATCATCTACTGGCAGTCAGAACCAGGCATGACAAACAGTGACGTGACATGCTCAGTCCCATGCTGCAAAACCCTGCAGAGTAACATTGTGGCCCCGCACCAGGGCCTACAGTGACCTGTGTGAGGAGGGCCCTGAGTGCACCTTGGCCTGGAGGTCTGACATTGTGCCCTGAGCACGCCTTCAGACTTGCAAGCAATACAGTGTCCCCATGCACTGGGCTCCAGTCGCATCAGCCCTGCATGAAGCCCCCCCCTCCAGAGGGCTCAGCTGTATCCTCATGAGGCATGCTGATCACTCAGCCAAGAATTCTGGGGATGCCAGTGTGGCGATGGCAGCTGCTTCTCATCCATGAGGTTGAGTTGAAATGCTGTCATCTCAGGTCCTCTCCTATGATGCTTCTCCACACTGTCCTGGCTTCTTCTCCAGGAGGTGCCCTGTCTCTCTTCTTATCTCAAACCCTAATCACAACCTGCACTTCCCTCTCTCTTATTCGTCACCTGTCTGTAAGCTCCCTACCTGTCCTGTTCTTGATTGTATTCTCTGTGGGGGCACAGTGAAGAATGGGCCCTCCATGAACACCTTTTGGATCAATAAAGAGTCAAAACAGTTGCAAAACAAAAAGAAAAGGGCCGGCACTGTGCCTTAGCAGGTAGTGCCGACATCCCATATGGGTGCCAGTTTGTCCTGGATGTTCCACTTCCAAACCAGCTCTCTGCTATGGCCTGGGAAAGCAGTGGAAGATGGCCCAAATCCTTGGGCCCCTGCACCTATGTGGGAGACCCAGAAGAAGCTCCTGTCTCCTGGCTTTGAACTAGCCCAGCTCCAGCCATTGCAGCCATGGGGGGAGTGAACCAGCAGATGGAAGATCTCTCTCTCTCTCTCTCACTCTCACTCTCTAACTCTGCCTTTCAAATAAATAAATATAACCTTTAAAAAAAGTCACCTTTTATAGTAAGGGATAGTGAAAATACACTTTATGATACTCAGGAGAGGAAGTGGTGGCTATACACTTGGTATTAGACCCCAATAATCAATTGCCGAGTGAGAAGAGAGGCAGAGGCACTGCTTCTGCCTCCCCCAGCCTCTCTTGAGCTCCACAGGATCATGGATCAGCAGGGTGTGATTGACAACTTCCAGTGATGCGATTTCCTCATCTTGGGCGTCCACCTCGGGAGAAAAGAGCTCTCCTGGTCTGCATCCAGCACCATGGATTGCTGAGTCAGCGTCAAATGCAGGGCGGCGTTTTACTGAAGCCAGTTCTTAATTTCAGGGATGCCACAATGCCAGTAGTCTCAATCACTCCAGCAGGTCATTCAGGAATCATAGAGTTATAGCTGTTCAAGCTATTGAAGAAGTGCAACCACTTAGTTGGAGGGAGAACAGATTCAAGACCAGAGCCTTGGAGCCAGGCAGCTCCAGGCGGTGGGTTAAAGCAGGAAGCAGCAAAGCAGACCAAGAGCTGTCAGGGACAAAGGACCGTAAAGGCAGGGGCTGAAACCATCACGCAAAGAAAGGCGTCAGGCAGATCCAGTGTTACAGAGGGCCAACGCCAGCCACACTGAGGACTGACCGCTGGATCTGGTAACGTGTAGGTCCTTGGTGACCCAGAAAGAATAAGTGTGGTGGGATGGCAGCAAGAAACGCCTGTTTAGAGGACTGTAGTAGATGGAGTGGCCTCCCAAAAGAACCTCCAGTCCTCACCCTATGTCCTGTGACCGTGTCGCTGGGCAGGAGAGCCTTAGCAGGTGTCACTGATGTCACGGCCATGGGCCTTCCCAGAGGCACCCCCACACCAGTGGGCCCAGTCTGATGGCAGGAGTCAGAGAACTTAATCTGGGCTGAGTGAGAGAGGGGACACAGAAGGGCAGGTCAGAGAGAGCTGAGGGGGCGAGAGAGAGACGGAGCCCATGACTGTAGACAGGAGCCACATGGAAACATGGCACCAGCCCGCAGGTGACAGACAGCAAGGAAAGGGGGTCCTCAGTACTACACCCTTGAGGAACAGAGTTCAGCCCAAAATCTGGATGAACTCAGCAGCCGCCTCCTCCCCAGAGTCTGTAGTACAGGGATGCAGCCCTGCCCACACCTGAGCAGGCTTACGGGACCCTACGCAAGGCCGCCCGGCCAGGACCACCTCCACTCCTACCCTGCACAGCTCTAACGTAGGGAATTCCTGTTGCATTACGCCGCAGGATTCATGGTGCTTTGTTACAGCTGCATTTTTGTAAGTAATTGTGAGGAGCGTGTGGTGGCACGGCAGTTTAAGCCTTTGCTTGGGATGCCCACACCCCACGTCAGGAGTGCCCAGTTGAGTCCCAGAGGCTCCACTTCTGATCCAGCTCCCTGCTATTGCTGCACTGGGTGATGCTCTCAAGTAGTTGAGTTCCACCCACAGGGGAGACCCACGATGGAGTTCCAGGCTCCTGGCTTCAGCCTGGACAAGCCCTGGCTGCTGTGGCCATTTGGGGAGTGAACCACAGGATGGAGGAT